AAGATGTGTTCAAGAGGTGGCGATGGAAACATTTGTGGAGCAAAATCATAGGAGGCGGGAGACTATGGGGCGCAGAGATAATGGTACACAGCTGGCCTTGAATAAGAAGTGAGCCATCTGATCCTGAGACAGGTGAGCAGATGGAGATGGACACTATTAGAGCTCAAGTTCAGAGTTGGGGGAAAGCAAGTGAGGACACTTCACCCTGCAGATCTTGCTTTGAAAAAAGCAAGAATATCTGCCAATAAGGAGAGGTAAGGTAGAGAGGGGAAAATAAGTAAGTTAGCAGCTACAGAAAAAGGACTGTGTATGGGTATTTCCAAGCCCCATTCTTACTGGTATAATTGTGGTATTTTTATTATTATTATTTTGGAACCGGGGATCGAACTCGTGTCCTTGCACTTGCAAGGCAGGCGGCGGAACCACTGAGCTAAATCCCTGGCCCTGTGGTGTTTTTGTTTTGATTTTTGAGACAGGGTCTCACTGTGTAGTTGAGACTGACCTGGAACTATGTAGCCCAGGCTGGCCTCGAACTCACAGCGATCCTCCTGCCTCAGCCTCCTGAGTGCTGGGATTACAGGCATGCACCACGACGCCCAGCTCCTCTGGTATTTTTAAGGAGTAACTTTCAAAAAATGTTTCCCATTCTGTAGGTTGTCTCTTCACTATACTTTTTTCTTCTTCTTAGTACTGGGAATCAAACTCAGGACCTTGTTCTTGGAAGGCAGGCATGGCACTGCTGAGCTAAATCCTTGGCCCTCTTTACTTCTCTTTAACAGAGAACTCAAGAGAACTATTGTCTAGACTACATAAAGAACTTTAAAAAAATGACTCCCCTCAAAGTAAGACCCAAGCAAAAATTGGGCAACTGAAACAGATAGTTTTTAGAAGTACAGATGGCCAAAAATTAAGTGAAAAAAAAAAAAGTTCAGCATCTGTAACCATTAGAGAAATGCAAATTAAAATACTGAGATTATCTTACTGCAGAAAGACTGGCTAGCACCAAGAAATCAAGTAACAAATGCTGAAGAAGTTGTAGGGGGGAAAGGAACCACTTTTACATTGTGGGTGGAAGTGTAAACTAGTACAACCACGATGGAAATCAGTATAGAGATTAAAAAATCCTAAAATTAGCCCAGCACATGGGAGGCTGAGGCAGGAGGATCTCCAAAATTGGAGGCCAGTCTGAGCTACCGAAAATTCAAGACCAGCCTGAACTGTGTGGTAAAACTCTGCCTTAAAACAAAACCAAATGAACCCTAAAATTAGAAATTCCATTAGATCCAGGTATGGTGGTGCATGCCTACTGTCCCAGCACATGGGAGGTTGAAGCAGGACTGCCACAAGTTCGAGACCTTAGTGATTTCAAGGCCTGAACTACAGGTAGAGACCCCCTCTAACAAACAAAACAAAACAAAACAAAACCCATTTGACCCAGCTATCTGCCATCAAGCCATCTTCCTGAAAAATATATTTCAATGCATACTCATGTTTACAGCAGCACAATTCATCTATCAACAAACAGATGGGTGGATAGAGTAACAGTTATATACAATGGAGGACAATGGTCATAAAAAAGGGTAATGGATGCACCTTGATACCATAATTTTTTTTTTTTTTGGTTTTTTGAGACAGAGTCTCACTATGTAGTTGAGACTGATCTGGAACTCACTGTGTAGCCCAGGCTGGTCTCGAACTCACAGCAATTCTGCCTCAGCTTGATATAATGTTGTGAAATAAATCAGACACACAAAAGCTTAAATATTGCATGGCTTTTTTTTTTTAATGAGAAACCCAATGTACAAATAAATTAAAAAGCAAAATAAAAGGTAATAGCAAACAGGGAGATAGAGTTTTTGCAAATGGGAAGGGGACCAAGAACAAGGGGATGAAGAGATATTAGTACATGCACCAACATCCCATGATGAATGTAATTACTACACACTGCAAACAGAAAAGTACTAATAAAAATAAAAATTTGAAAAAGGAGTAACTGTCAAATCTAACTCAGTGCAGCTTTGCCGGCATTTATTTGATTTCTTGATGATTCTTTCTAGGGTGAGTGGAATCTCAGTGTTTTAATTTGCATTTCTCTAATGGCCAGCAATACTGAGCACTTCTTCATGTGTTTACTCATTTGTACTTCTTCTGTAAAGTGTTGGTTCATTTGCCCATGTTTTGACTGGGTATGATTTTGAGGGAGTTCTTTACATATTCCAGGTACCCTGTGGTACTGGGGAATTGAATCTAGGGCCTTTGCACTGAGCTACATCCTCTGCTTTGCTTTTTCGTTGAATCAGGGACTATGTAGCCCAGGCTGGCCTCAAACTCATGGCTGCCCTTCTGCCTCTACCACCTCAGTGTTGGTATTACAGGTGTGTATCACCATGGCTGACTTTCCCACTTTTTTTTTTTCCTTTGGTTTTTTGGAGACAGGGTCTCGCTATGTAGTTGAGACTAACCTGGAACTCACTATGTAGCCCAGGCTGGTCTCAAACTCACAGCAATCCTCCTGCCTCAGCCTCCCGAATGCTGGGATTACAGGTGTGCACCACCACACCTGGCTCTTTAAATTTTCAGAGGATATTGCTAAGCTGCCCAGGGTGGCCTCAAACTTGTGATCCTCCTGCCTTAGCCTCAAAAGTAGTTGGGGTTACAAGCATGCACCACCAAACCTGGTAAAGGCTGAGTTTTGCATCATTATGAAGTCAGGTGTGTTTATCCATCTAGCTGGCTACTATCATTAAAATGAATAAAATATGGTTTCTCAAATAAAAAAAATATCTTTAGTTCTTCTATACAGTTAGGTTTCTGAATGCAACTGAAGTTTTTCTATAGTCAGTTTCCTGATTATTAAATTGTTTATTTGGGCCAGTAACTAATATGCTACTGAGCATACCTATCCATCTTTTTTTTATTTTGTTTTTTTGAGACAGGGTCTCATTATGTATTTCAGGCTGACCTTGAATTCACAGCAGTCCTCCTGCCTTGGCCTGCTGAGAACAGGGATTACAGGTGTGTGCCACCACGTTCAGCTACCAATCCATCTTTATAACATAATCAAACTAGTTTTGAAATAAGTATTTCACAAAATTAAAATACATCCTAAAAATTGTACACACATACACACACACACACACACAAATTCTTGCATTACTGGGAACTGAACCCAGGAACTACATTCCTACCCCTTTTTATCATTTAAAGTGAGGTCTTAACTAAGTCACTGAATTGTCCAGGCTGGCTGGAACCTGTGATCCTCTTGTGTCAGCCTACCAGAGTGCTGGGATTACAAGGAGTAGGCCATCATACCCATCATTTTCACTTTTATCTGATATAAAATTTACAACATGTCCTGATGAATGCAATAGTCACTTTCAGGTTTGAAATTCTTTTTTTTTTGTACTAGGGATTGAACTTAGGACCTTGTGCTTTGCAAGGCAGGCAGAGCCACTGAGGTAAACACCCGGCCCCAGGTTTGAAATTCTGACCCCTTCTATGCATGATGCCCATATGTTAGAGGGGAGAAACTACAATCCTGTTTTCATCTTGAACTAGACTTTTTTTTGTTTTGTTTTTTGAGACAGGGTCTCACTATGTAGTTGAGACTGACCTGGAACTGTGTAGCCCAGGCTAGTCTCGAACTCACAGTGATCAAGTGATCACTGCCTCAGCCTCCCAAGTGCTGGGATTACAGGCATGCACCACCACACCCGGCTTGAACTAGATTTTTAAATCTAAAAGAATTAAGTGGATTATTTTTCTTATTTCTGTGTCCTAAGGCTGACTGAAATTTATTATTTCACCTTGAAATATATAAATATAACTACTAAAAATTTCTTTTCTCAGAGAGGGGTCTTGCTATATTGTTCACGCTGGCCTCAAATTCCTGGCTCAAGCAATCTTTCTGCCTCCCTACTCAGTGGGACAACAGGTACACTGCTACAACCAGCTAAAATGTTTAAAGTCTTTGAAACTATTATATAGTAGAATATCAACATTTTCTGGATAGGTGAAAGCTTTTATATTACTTTTTTATTTTGCAGAAAATAAATTATACAACTTAAAAAATAAAATCCAAAAATTAAGCAGTTCATCAAAATATTTCAGCCTACTGCATACAGAAACTGCTACCATTCAGAATTGTACAGCATTACCATCTCAGTATGTAGTGGCACACATTCAAAGAACGCATAGACCATGTGAGGATAGATTACACCTTAGGAACTCAGATTTGTTCAACACTCCAGATGACATATACTGTAGATGACAGGCAAGCTCTCATGTATTATTTTACACACATGACCTTGGAAGAATTTATAAGACAGCATCCCAGTCATTTACATGAAAATAGAAAAACCAGCTTAAGTTTATGATAGCAAATCTTTCTGTAAAACTAGCAAATCTTTCACTCAACTGAATTTTAAAAATTTGTCCTTTGAGCAGGGTTAATGACATACTTACTGCAAATAATGAAAAATATCTTTTTAACTACTAATGTCATATTCTGTATTAAGTGTAATAAAAAGTAAAAATAAGAAAGCTAGCATTCCATTTTTGGAAATTTTAACATTTATGTAAAAATTAAGAGCAAGTACATTGATAGAACTCAGGGACCCCTCCAATAAGTGTAAAAATTGGAAGACTTCAGAATTTCTGTTACAATCTCATTAAATCCTTGAAATAACAATATTCTAATATTTATCACATTGTAAGCATCAAAAATGTATTTTCACTTCATAAATTTTGTTTCATATCTACTTACTATGACAATGAGGTGGCAACAAAAGTTACCGATTTCAGATAGGTCCATCTTTAAGTTAGAAGATGAATGTTCAAAACTTAAACTCTAGCCAAGAATAGTGGCACATTCCTGTAATCCCAGCACTTAGAAAGGCAAGGCAGGAGGATCACTTTAAGTTCAAGGCTAGCCTGAACTACATAGTGAGACCCTGGGCTACATAGTGAGTTCAAGGTCAGCCTGAACTACATAGTGAGACCCTGGCTAAAAAAACAAAAAACAAAAAACAAAAACACCCCAAACAACAACAACAACAAAAACACCCCTTGAGTCCTCCTGCAACACTACGCATTAACAATAAGGTTATTTTGGTCTTGGAGTTTAGAGACTGGATTTTCTTTTCTTTCTCATAACTATGTGAGGCGTCATCCTTGCTCAGATAATGCTAATTTTAAGTGCACATTGGAGAGAGACCTGATAAAGAATACTATGATTTTGTACCTTTAGCAAATTACTGGTTAAAATTATTTGCTTCAGACTTTTTAAAATTTGCAAACATGTCAAAACATATTTAAAAGAAAATTCAACAATGATATAGGCACCGTGTCAATATAATGTTTTTCATAAACACCAACAATCAGCTAAGCTTTTGCATACATAATTTTTAAAATGATTGAAAACTGTAAGTCTACAGTATTTGCTGCTTTTCAATCCCCCAAATACAATTAGGACATAATTAGCTATTTAAAAATTTATGAAATTTAATAGAAAACTTTTGCTATGGAGTTAGCATTACTCACTTTGCATTAAATTTGGCTTGTGGAATCAAAATACCATGGCTCTCATTCTTAAATGACCAAAAAAGATTAGAAACTTCAAAGTTTTCAGAATAATTATGGTTTAAAACAAATCTTACAATTAAAAAAAAAAGGTCTATAATTTTTTCTTCTATTGTTTCTTCCTTTGGCTTTTCCTGTATCAGGACAAGCAAATATGCCAATATCACACTATTTGTTAGACATAAGAGCCAAAATTATTACAAAGTTATTTCTTCTAAGCTTCAAATGTATCCACTGTTAACAGTCATCTAATCAGAGAAAATAATGAATATTAATTTCAATTCATCATTAAATGTTTGGTCTATAATTGACATATACTATCTTAGAAGTATAAGGTTTTAAATTATCAACAAAATTTCAATTTTCTATGAGTTTCAAAACAGGCAGTTCACTATAATCAGCAAAATCTTAAATATTTTAATTTTCTTTCCTTCTTTTCAGCAGGAAGCTCACAATGCCTCTTGAGATTGGCAGCGGATTCCATTAAAAAAATGTTCTTACAAGCACTCCGCTATAATATATAATACTGTATGCTTTCCAGCAATCTTATTTCCTGCTTTCTTCAAAACCATACTTTCAAATATTACTTAACATCGAAAAGATAGAAAACAATTTTTAAGAAAATTTGAAACATGCACCACAATGAATAAAAATCCATATTGAGCCATTTTGTTTTCCCAATGGGGAATACAATTTTTCTCTTTTCAGTTGTTCAAGTTCTCAAGTCATAAAATTTCCACTGCTCTGGGTATTCAGTTGCCAGCAACTACTAAGTTGCTGCTTTGGATTGACTGAAAGGAACAAGGTAACTGTTGCCTTCTAAACATTTTTAAAATGTTTATTTTTAAAATATATAAATATATATGTACATATTTGGCAAGTTTACTGCTCATGTTAAGATTGTGACATCCTTACTTATGCTTTTCAGGTGTTAATGTTGTGGTTTCTCTCTTCCTCTTAGGTGACTAATTATTACTTTTTAAAAGAGAATGCTTTTCTTTTGAGAAAGCTGAGGCTGTAGATCCCTAATCGTGAAACTTCAAAATACCAAAATAGTTCTATGCTACAGATTAAGAGATCAGTCCCCAAAATTTATTGTATCAGAGCAGATTTCAGCACTGTTTTCAATAAATTTAGATATGGCATAATAAATATTAGTTATGAACACATTTAATGTTTGTTTTGCTATTCTGACTCTGCAATCATGACTTCCCTATTTCTGTAATTCTCAATCAACTGAAGCAACAACATAAGCTTCACTTTCAAACAAGCTCTCCAGCCATATAAGATTTTTAAAAACTCATCATTTAGTAACAAATAACTAAAGCAGCAGTCTCCTGCTTAAAAAAAAAAGTTTGCAAAAAATACTTAATACCATTTCATAGTCATCATTCAAATCCAGTTATGATGTTGAAGCAGTATTGAAAAATTTGATACTGTGAAATACTTATCTTCTCACCTACACCTGCCCTCTCCCAACGTTGTGTTGACCAGCTCACTCTTTTCCTTCATCACGAGAAGCCAAGAGTGCTACTTCTAGTTTTAATTGCATTTTTTAAAAAACAAAGATAATAGCATTTTTCAGTGCATGAATATCTGAATATCCTTCCTTGTGCAAGTACATTTTTTCAAGAGGAAAAATAAAAGAGAAAGAGAAAAGCAACAAGAACCCGCCCTCAACCTTCCCTCATGTTTTTCCTGGTGGGTAAAAATCAAATTTACTTTTAAAAGTTCATAATGGGCTCTTCATGAATGCAAGTTTCTCCACAAAACAGCATGCTGTTACAGAGTGTGCAACATGAAGGGAATGCCATCATGCTAACTAGTGTGACTGGTAAAATAGAGTCGTTCTGTAAAGGTAAGGCAGAGATTTGAATATTTATGTAATCAAAGTCCAAATAAACCTTTCTCCAGCTCAAACTGTGACAACTTTCTGCTCACGCACTCCAAAATCTGCATCCTTAGTATTGTCCATGATATTCAAAATTATGCCATATATATGAAAGTGTTGATATCAGACTCATCTCTTCTGATGTATTTGTGCTCTATTAGCCATTCTATTTGCTCTTTTATCATTTTCTTTTGTGGTAAGAACATATTTTTCAAAATTTCTACTAATTCAGTCTGCAGTTGAGCATTACTAATTTTCTTTCTCATTTTCATTATTTGTATGATAGCTTCCTAAAAGAAAACATAAAAATGAAAGCATATTAATATATTAAGTAAAGCAAAACAAGAAATGACTTTTTATGTATAATTCATCTTCTATCCAATACTTATCAAAATGAACAACAATCACTTGTGGATTAACATGAGATGAACATTTACTGAACAAACAAAAATATCTTTTTCACTCCATAATAGAAAATCTGCTCATTATAGAGATTTTGAAAATAAGGAAAAGTAAAATTACCCATAATCTCTCCAATGAAAGAAAACTACATCTAATGTTTAGAAACGTTTCCTTTCATTTCATTTTTCCATATCATGCACATTTTATATTCACTTTTTTTTTTTTTTTTGTACTGGGGATCGAACTTGGGACCTTGCACTTGAGAGGCAGGCGGTGAAACCACTGAGCTAAATCCCCAGCATCATGCACATTTTAAAAAGTGATCTTACTGGAGGGGTGGGGGAAAGTAAAGAAGGGAAAAGAAAAAGTATGAGAGAAAAAAAAAATGGAAACAAAGTCTTTGTAAATAGGGAAGGGTGGAGGGGGTGTAGGGAGTGCAGGGGAACAGGGAGAAAGTAAGAACCAAGATACGTCATGTTAAAGGTACAAGATCCCAATGATGAATGTAACTGTATTATATACCTAAAATGTACCAATAAAATTAAATGAAAAAAAGTGATCTTACCTATCAATACAATATGTATGTAACCTAATATTGTGTTAAACATAAATTAAGATACAACAAACTCCTGACACACAATCTTTCCCTGGAATTAATTTATTTCTTGAAGGTTTTATTTTTTTATGGGATTGAACTTGGGTCCTTGTGCTTGCAAGGCAGGCCACTGAACCACTGAGCTAAATCCCCAGGCCCTTAATTTTTCTTTTCTTTTTCTTTTTTTTTTGGTACTGGGGATCAAACTCAGGTCCTTGCGCTTGCAAGGCAGGCGGAAGAATCCCTAAGCTAAATCCCCAGCCCCCTTAATTTATTTCTTTATGTTGTAGTAGAAGCCAGTTGATATCTGTTTTAAAAATCAGTAAGTACTGCAGGGCGTGGTTGCACAATCCTGGAATCCCAGCACTCTGGAGGCTGAGGCAGGATTGCCTTGAGTTCAAGGAAAGTCTGGGCTACATAATTAGTTCAAGGCCAGCCTGGACTATACAGCAAAACACACTTTCACCCCCCCAAACCCCAATAATTAAATACTACTCTTTACATATTTACCAGATTGTTATTGTTGTTTTTTTGGTACCAGGGATTGAACTCAGGACCTTGCACGTACAAGGCAGTCAGCAGAACCACTGAGATAAATCCCCGGCCCTTATATTTACCAGATTAATAAATTATATTTGCTATAATATCTTTAATTTGACTGATTTTTCAATTAAAGGTTTTCAGCTTTCTAAAGGAATAAACATTTTCATCTAGGTCAATTTTAACAATACTTTTCCTGGCATTTCTTTAATTACTATTAAGCTTGTAACAGAATTTATCTGAAAACTACTAAACTTTTTCTTTTGCCTTTTCCAGTACAAGCCATCTCTTTAGCCAATAATCTACCTACCTGCCTTAGTAAAGATTATAATCTGTTATAAAGAAATGTAAAAAAGTAAAAAGAAGAAATACAGTTGGCCCTGTGTCACTAGGTCCCAAAGCCAGAGTTTCAACTAATCTTAAATAAAAAATATAGTTACAAGACCTATGATGGCTGAATCTGTATTGAATATGAGGAAATTTTGATTCTCAACATTATTCCCTAAATAATAAAGTGTAACAACTGTTTCCAGTAATATTTACTTTGTATTAGGTATTACATGTAATCTAGAGATGATTTAAAGAACACAGGAGGGGATGTATAGGTTATACTCAAATACCATACCACTTTAGAGGGATTTGAACATTTGTAGATGTTCTGTAGGGGCAGAGGTCCTAATCCCTGTGGACACTAAGGGACCACTGTATTCTTCTGGGGAGGTAGTAGTGGTACTGGGGATCAAACTCTGGACCTTATGCTTGCAAAGCAGGCATGGTGCCACTGAGCTAATCCCCAGCCCCACCACTGTATTTTCTTTTAATGTTTAGTATGGAACTTTGCTGTAATCAATCGGATCAGGATCAGGAGTCATGCCCTATTTAGCAAGAAAAAGAATTCCTTTAAGTTTCCTGTATGACAAATTCTCACCAGCACAAGGTCAACCGAATTCCTCTCATTTTCAACATATCCAAATAGCAAGGTTTTTTTTGTTTTTGTTTTTTTGAGGCAGGGTCTCACTTTGTCATTCAGGCTAGCTCTGAACTCACTGTGTAGCCCAGGCTGGCCTGGAACTTTTGGCCTTGAACTTGCAGTGATCTTCCTGCCTCAGCCTCCCAAAGTTAAAGATTAAAATGAAATAAAACATCAAGACTTTTCAAAATTTAGACATTTTATCTTAGTATCACAAACCTGGGTTCTCAATATTCTAAGTTGAACTATTCCTTCATTTTCTTCTTCTCTCATCCTTTCTGTAGTGAGTTGCAAGCGTCCAATCAAATTGATTTTACCCCTTTTCTGAACTTTTGCATTTTTTCTGTAAAAAAATATTCAATCAAATGTTTCACAGTGAGAGAAAACATTTAGAAATATTTAAAAAAATTAACATCCAGAACTGTTTAGATAACCAAAACACAGCTTGGTATAAGACAAATTTTGATTTCTCACAAACATAATATCACCTTTAATAAAATGACTGTTAGCTGGGCATGGTGCTGCATGTCTATACTGCTAGCACTTGGAAGGCTGAGGCAGGAAGATCACTACAAGTTCCACTCCAGCCTGGGCTTCATAGCGAGTCCAAGGCCAGTGTTACAGCTTGTGTTTAGATGCACCTCCAAAGCCTCATGCAGTCATAGGTGGGTCTTTTCAGAGGTGGCTGGATCAAAATTGTGTGCAATGCCAGGATTAAAGGTGGGTGACTATAAATCAGTCCACTGATTGGTCTGGCACCCATTCTAATCCCAGCAGCCTAGACAAAATATTAAAAAAGGAGCAGAAAGAAACTGTTAAGGCCTCTTGCTTGTTCTTACCCACCCACTTGCTGTAGACTAATTCTCCTGTGATGCCCTTCTGCCATGCCACTGTACCTTGGAGCCAGCCGACTATGCACTGAAATCTCTATGAACTGCGAGCAAAATAAACCTTTTCTTCTTTAACTTTCGGTGTCTGGTATTTTGTCTCAGCAATGAGAAAAGTAACTAAGACAGCCTGCCTGAACTACACAGCGAGACCCTGTCTCAAAAAACAAAAACAAAACTAAACTAAAATGGATATGCTCCTTATAAAATAAAATGCCACACGCTGGGTGTGGTGGCGTATGCCTGTAATCCCAGCACTCCAGAGGCTGAGGGCAGGAGGATTGCTGCCGAGTTCAAGACCAGCCTAGGATACATATTGAGTTCCAGGTCAGTCTCAACTACATAGTGAGACCCTGTCTCAAACCCGCCCCCCGCAAAAAAACAAACAACAACAACAAAAAAAGCCACACAAATAATTAATTATATAGTGAAGATATATGGGTTGCAATTCAGCATTATCTACTTGGATCTTCAGAAAAAATATCCTCTGCTTGAATAAAGATGTTTTACAGTGCAAAAGAATGCTTACTTTTTTTTTTTTGAGACAGGGTCTCATTATGTAGTTGAGACTGACCTGGAACTCACTGTGTAGCCCAGGCTGGTCTTAAACTCACAGAGATCCTCCTGCCTCCGCCTCCCGAGTGCTGGGATTACAGGATGCACCACCACACCTGGCTCAAGAATGTTTACTTTAAAGATGAAAGGTAATACAGTGTAATGTCAGACACTAAAAAAAGTTATGAAAATTATTGAAAAGAGCTCACTATCTCCAGTTCATTAAATTTGTTTTCCTTTTTTATCCCTACAAGCTCAGCCCCTTTGTTCGCCTGGGCAACTTACAGATTTGGCCCCTTTTTTTTTTTTTTTTTTTTTTTTTTTGAGACAGGGTCCTTTGTAGTTCAGGATGGCCTTGAGCTCACTATGTAACCCAGGCTGGCTTCGAACTCCAGGTGATCCTGCCTCGGCCTCTCAAGTACTAGCCTTTAATAGTTTCAATACAAAACTAAATGACAAAAATTTAGAGTATACAGTTATTGTATACTGTTATTATTATAGTATACAGTTAACTGTTTTAAATATCATAGAAAGAAAAAATTATTTTGCTAAAAAAAAGCACTAACATTCAAACAAGGTATTTTTATTTTAAATCAAGCAACATAAACCTTACATTAAACTGAACTCCTGGTTCACTGAGAAGAGGGTACCTTCTGTGAAGTCTTTGGGCGAGCTCACTTGAGGTTCATACAATAAAACTTGCCGTTTGAGCTTTGGGAAAGCTACTAAAGACTATGAAGAACAAAGAGAAAAAAATTAGCATCTATAAACAGTATGGAATCCTAAGATCAATTCTGCAAAACAATATAAATACAAATTTACAATTTAAATTTTATTTGGTTGCTCTGTGACTACAATGATGTAAATGCATACTGAAGAAAAAGAGAAGAAAAGACTTGGTTATGGGGAAGCAATAAATGGTTTCTTTATATTATGACAAGAAATTAGAATTGGTCACATAGGACCATAGCAAACACCACTTGCCAGTTATATGCCAGCTCTTTCCTCAACAGAAAATAGTTTATTCTGGTGCTTCTAATAAATCTATAGAGGAGTAAAATGTAGGTATGTAAGCAAGATCTTACAAATACTCAAAAAAGACTAAAGTCTTCCCTCTCTCCTTCCCTCCTTTTTTCTTTTTTTTGGTGCCAGGGATTGAACTGAGGACCTTGCACTTGCAAGGCAGGCAGTGGCACCACTGAGCTAAATCCCCAGCCCTCCCCCTCCTTTCCTCTTCTTTTCTTCCTTTTTTCTCTTCTCTTCTTTCACCTTGCCTTTCCCTTTTGTCTCCCATTCTCCTTCCTCCTTCCTTCTCTTCCTTATTTCTTTTTTATTGAGTTTATTGGTACTTTTAAAGTATAAAGTAGTTACACTCATCATTGGGAGCTTGTACCTTTTACATGGCAGATCTTGGTTCTTATTTTTCCCCCACACCCCTGTCTTCCCTTCCTTCCTTGGACAATACTGGGGATTGAACCCAAGACCTCTGAAGTTACATCCCATGCCCTAATTTTTTTTTTAATTATCAGGTAGTAATAAATTATAAAATTCCTCAGGCTAGGCTTGAATTTTGGATCCTCCTGCCTCAGCCACTCAGAGTGTTGGCTCTCTTCTCCTCTCCTCTCCTCTCCTCCACAGACAACTAGAACCAAAGTTTTCTAACTCTTCAATATTTGGCCATCATAAAACCTTTGAATACACTCTCAGTATAAAAATTAAGTGTAGTACATGTCTTCAGACTCCTCATAGGTAAACATTTAAATACTGTACAAACTGAGTATCTCTCTGTCTTGATACTTGTCTATTTCAATTTCTTTTTTTCCAAAAACACCTCAGATAGTGTGTTTTTCTTGGTTAAAGGTCATTTTGAGAATGTTACGAATTTACAGTGGCTGAGTATAGCTCAGTGATACATGCCTAGCGCGTGCAAGGCCTTGGATTTGATCTCTAGCACTACCCTTCCCAAATTACAGGCCAATCACATATTATAGCTGAGAGAAGATATAATTTTAAAAACAAACAAACAAACCCATAAAGTCCTTCTAAGTTCAGCATCTGGGAGTTCAGTTGCAAGTTTTAGATTTTCAAAACTAATTTTTTCTCTGGGTCTTTGGTTCCATGCAAAAAGCACAGCCAGCTGAAACGTGGTTACCTCCAAATCATATTGACCTACTTCATTCTTAAATGTTATCTGTAAGAGATCAAAAAATTTAAACAAATAACCTCTTCATAAGTACAATTTATCTAAAATATCCAATACATGAGAGAATATGTGAAAAAGACTAATTATCTTTTAATTTCTATTCTTCCTTATATGGTGTTATGACTTGTGTCTGAATGTCCTCCCAAAGCCTCAAGCAGTCATAGGTTGGGCTTTTCAGAGATGGCTGGATATAGAGCATGTGACACTGAGATTGTAAGGGCACTAGGATTAAGGATGTGAGTGTGGACAGGTTAACCTGAATACGTAAGAGTCATAAAGAGGCTTGTCATGGGCCAGCACAGCACCTGCCTGGGAAATGCAAG